TCTGAGATGTTTTGAGAGGATTACTGGCTGCTCTGGGTAAAAGAGATTGCAGGAGTCAAGGGCAAAAGTACTGGCCAGACATGGTGGCTCATGCCTATAATCTAAGCACTTTGGGAGGCTGAGGTGGGAGGATTACTTGAGCCTAGTAGTTTGAGATCAGCCTGGGTAACATGGCAAAACCTCATCTTTACAAAAAATAGAAAAATTAGTTGGATGTGGTAGCATGCTCCTGTAGTCCCAGCTACTCAGGAGGCTGAGGCAGGAGGATCATCTGAGCCCACGAGGTCAAGGCTGTTGTGAGCCTCGATGGCAACACTGCATTCCAGCCTCGGTAACAGAGTGAGACCTTGTCACAGAAAAAAAAAAAAAAAAAAAAAAAAAAAGTAGGGAGACAAATAATGGTCATGGCAGGAGAATATGGTCACTTGCACATGGTATGAGTAGAGGGATAAGAAAATAGACCAGGTACAGTGGCTCACATCTATAATCCCAGCAGTTTGGGAAGCCGAGGTGTGGGGATCACTTGAAGTCAGGAGTTCAAGACCAGCCTGGCCAACATGGTGAAACCTTGTCTGTACTAAAAATACAAAAAAATTAGGTGGGCTTGGTGGTGCACGCCTGTAATCCCAGCTACTCAGGAGGCCGAGGCAGGAGAATTGCTTGAACCCAGGCAGCAGAGGTTACAATGAGTTGAGATCGCACCACTGCACTTCAGCCTGGGTGACAGAGTGAGACTCTGTCTCAAAAAAAAAAAAAAGAGAGAGAGAAAATGTGTACAGGTTGAGTATCCCTTATCTGTAATGCTTCGGACCTGAAGTGTTTTGTATTTTGGATTTTTTCAGATTTGGGAATACTTACGTTACATATACTTAGTGATTGAGCATCCCTAAGCCAAAATCCAAAGTATTCCAGTGAGTATTTCCTTTGAGCACCATGTGAACACTCAAAAAGTTTCATATTTTATAGCATTTAGGATTTCTGATTAGGGAAATCAGAAATGTCTATGCTCAACCTGTACGTAAATACAATCATGTACCATGCAGTGGCATTTTGGACAACAACAGATGGCATTTATGACAGTGATCCTCGTAAAATTATTATGGAGGTGAAAAATTCTTCTGGCCTTGTGACATCTTGATGATCCTGACTTTGTGTAAGCGTAGGGTAATGTGTGTGTTTATGTCTTAGTTTTTGTTTTTTTATGTTGATACATAATAGGTGTACATATTTTCAGGGTACATGTAATAATCATATAATTAGTAAAAATCAGTGTATTGAGATATCCATCACCATAAATATTTGTCTTTATGCTAGAAACATTCAATTATTCTCTTCTAGCTGTTTTGAAATATACAATAAGATTATTGTAAAGTATATGCCGGGCGCGGTGCCTCACGCTTGTAATCCCAGCACTTTGGGAGGCCGAGGCAGGTGGATCACCTGAGGTCGGGAGTTCAAGACCAGCCTGACCAACATGGAGAAACCCTGTCTCTACTAAAAATACAAAATTAGCCGGGGTGGTGGCACAT